TCGAGTTCTGGTCGGCAAACGTTTGTCTCAATTTTCTCAACAAGTTTTTGCATCACTTGAAGGAAATGGTGACAATTGATGACCCGAACGTTGTCTATCAGTTCGCGTTTCAACCACAACATGACATCACGTGCACCCGACTCGTCGAACCGGGAGACTTCCAGATACTTCCCGACTGGTATATCCACGAGTTCTCTTATTAGCCAATCACCACATTCTGTAACAATTAATTCAATCATTTCAATTCATTTGCTTTTTTGCAATCATTTATTTCAATGTAGTTTTTAAAGTTACTGTTTAATTATTGCATATATTGAGCGAATAATCCAATTAATCGTTTAATTAATTGATTGATTTTTGAGTTAATTAATTGAGTTCTTGTGATAAGTTCTCAATAATGATTTTTATATGATGTTAAACATTATCATTTGTGTTAAAAGCATTAGCTGTTAATTATTATGAACATTTGATTAGATTGTTTGTTTTGTCTAAATATTTACTTGCGTTAATTATTGATTCAATTCTAAATCACTTACTTTTTCACACATTTTATCCATGCATTCAATTGATTTGCTTTCACAATGATATCATAATAAAGTTCTTGAAATACAAAATTATTTACTATTTATTAGTTTTTGATTTAATGAACATTTGTTTGAATTTTTCATAAAATTTGTTTCGAAACTTATTTTGATAAATTTATATTCAAAACTCATTATTAAATACAATGCAAAAAATATTAAACTATTCTTGTAATCAATAGATTGTAATTGTGTTTGAATCCAATAAAATTGGTTCACATTATAATTGTCTGTTAAGTCGTGTAAAGATTTTGAGCATAAGAATGAATAAACAAATCGTGAATAACTTATTATCAATTAAGTTATGATGAGAAGCAGATGTGGATCGCGACAGTCGTCCGCAATGGGCTTCAGTCGTGTAATCGCCAATACAAGCGGCAAATGCCATCACATGAGCGATATATGACTGCTCCTGAGTTCCCGACAACAGGTGAGCCATTGGGCCGACACTATACGCCGCCACGTCTTCGCCTCCGTGTGCGTTGCTGTCCAAGTGGACGGCCGCTAAGGACTGGTACCGGGGATTGGCTGAACACAACATATCCATTAGATATCAGTTAAACTCAAAGTCACGGCAAAAAACTTACTTGTATCTACTTTTGAGGGGTCATCCCTGACCTCTTGAAATCCGGGTCCATTGCCATACATGAGTGTAGTGTAGGGCTTATTGTTGGAGTCATTACCGGATAAACCAAGGATAGAGTTCCCTCTTTTGGTGTATCCGTTGAATGAAAGAGTGTGCGAATGGTCTGCCGTGACGACCATCAGAGTGTCGGCGCTCGACACCATTGAATTGGCTTTAGTGATGGCCTTATCAAAGGCGACGGTGTCGTGGAGGGCCAGTTGGGCGTAGTTGTCGTGGTGGGCCTTATCGATGTTCCCGCCCTCCACTAACAACACGTATCCCTCCTTATTCTGACTGAGAATCTTAACGGCAGTTTCGGTCATCAGTTCGAGAGAGGGTTCGCCGTCATCCGAGTCATCCCTTTCCCTGTCATAAGCCAAGTGATCGTAATTGAATAAACCGAACAAATACTCCGTTTCCTTGGGTTTAATGCCTTTTAGTTGACCTTTCGTTTCCACGAATTGATAGGCATTTGGTTTGAGTCCCATTTCACTCTTTCTTTTCAGCCAATCGGTGATCAAATTCATGCCGTCTTTGCGGACGCCATACCTGCCATCCCTTCCCATCTGTGACTCGGGTAGAAAGAAACGTCGGGCCCCTCCCAACACAACTTTCAATTGAGACCCCGGCTCGTCTTCAATGAGCTGTCGGGCGATGTCTTTACAGTTTCCGGTCATATTCTGGGGCACCCGTCCCTCCCAATCCCTATTAGACATGTGCGCATAACTGGCCGCCGGAGTTGCATCAGTGATCTGGGCTGTGGTTACCACACCGGCGCTCTTTCCTATAGTTTGTGTATTCAATTCAATTAATTGTGTCTCTTATGTACTAAACGGCTGACAAACCGGAATCAATGGCCCACTTGAGTATCGATGAAATGCTATTCTGTTGAATGGATTGGCAATCATTTGAATACCGGGGAACTCTTGCGTTCACTCCAATGGTTCCGTCGTTTGTTTTGATGCCACAGAGGAAGGCGTTGGCAGAGGCGGCGGAATCGGTCACCTGATAGTTGATGTTATAGGTCTGGACACAAATGCCATCAAATTAATGTCAATTCTCCTTAAAGTTTTGTTTTTTTGTAGGAATTTTAGAGAAACTAATTCTTGTGAAGAGGTTTCACTGTTTGAGGAAATTCTCTACTATGACATGATTTACAGGAAATAATTGGCATCTAATTAACTGTCATTATTTTGAATTGTTTTCAATGCCAGTTAAAGTTCTGATTTAATATAAAATTTGTAAATAAATATAAAAAATGATATGTAGAAAAAACTAAGTTATATTGATAATATACTTTTAAAACTAATTTCTAAGGTTTAATTTGTTTTGAAAAAGTTTATATTTTAATATATAAATTTTACCATAATTACCTATACTTATTCTTGTTTTCAATAAACAAAATTATGAATTATATAACATTAAATATTATGTAAATATATTATAGTTTATAAACATTATATAAATAATATACTACTGTATACATGTCTAAAACTATATTCAAATATACGAGATATGTTTAATTTAAGATAAGATTCTTATAATTTATAAATTATTAATAATTATTCAAACTCATATAATGTTTGTTTCTCTGTATGTTTTAATATAATATTTTAGTAATAATTATTGTATGATTGAAATTACTTTAATGAGTGACACGTAAGGAAAGTCTTCAAAAATAAGTTTAGTCTCCTCTCCGGATCTGTTCTTGAGCTGTCCCTTCAAAATACGGGCCGGAGTTATGGTAGTGATGCCCATCCCGTCCCCCAGGAATAGGATTACATTTTTGGCTTTTCCTACATTCGGCTTCTGATTGAGTGAACGCTTTAATGTATTCTTTGCCAATAGATTCCAATATTGAGGCTCTATTTCAGCTATAAATAG